GGGAGGAGGTTAAGGAAAAGGGGGGGGGGGGGTCAATAGTGGAAAAACTGGATATAGCATCACTGTTGCACTTAACTCCAAGTATATCCGATCTACTCAACATCACTGAATGCACTTACCGTAAGGCCTCAAATGGCCAACACCCCATCCAACCGCTAACCAACACGTCTTTATGTACAACTTTCAAGAACCGCTAAGGTGTATCTATCTGTCTGAATAAATTTATAATGACACGACTGATAATATTTTCAGTATTGCTAAATTAAGCAATAGGAATAATAATAATATAGATACAAAATATGGTAAATACGGCATAAACAAAATATAATCACTCATAATAATATACCATCCATTAATGTATGTACTAATAAAATAAAAATGAAAAAAGTAATATAGATACAAAAAATAGTATAAACAAAATATTATCATTCATAATAATCAACCATCCATTAATGTATCTACTAATTAATAAAATAAAATAAATCAAATCAATTGGAATGGAATGGAATAATAATATATAAATAAAAAGGTTACAAGATTTTATTTATTTAAAAATAAGTAATACTATAGCGAAAAATATGTTACAAGCAAAATATAGTCACTCATAACCAGTGTTGGGGAGTAGCTAGCTACAAGTTGCGACACTACTAGCGTATGTACATTTTTCAGTAGCGACACTACTTTTAAAACAGTGTAGCTTTTCCTGTAGCTAACTACTTTTTCTAGCAAGTAGCGATGTAGCGCCACCAAACGCTACATTCCGTTTTGCGTTCTGACGAATCACGAGCCTGAATAATAGCCGTTTTAAACTGATAATTTTTTCTTCTTTATTGCACTCCAGATCAAATGTTGGAGATTTTATGACTCCTCTGTATCCAGTTTAAGTTGCATACATTTTGTTCTTGCATTGATGTTACGTTAGTAGCAATTTTGCATGCTGACAGTCAGTTTAAAATAACTTTTTACATCTGTCTCAAGAGGTCAAAGCCTCACACACAGACTGCCATCAGAAAACTGCATCCCATATCACTCAGTCACAAACAAACAAACACATGTGACTACAGGGCTTCTTGTAGGTTTATCCGCCCATGACATTGTGAATGGCTCTTTCACCCCACTAGTCAAGGGACCAGTAGAACTGCAACTCTGCAGTTCTTCCCTGCTTTCCTCTTCTCTCTTTATTCACTTTAACCCTTCCCCACAATGCATGAGTATACCACAGCTGCTGCAGTTATAACAAAAAAATACCAATGCCAAGAGGTAGAGAAGAAGGGAGGGCAGAAACGGGGATGGAATATGTTGGATGGAACACGCTGGCAGCAATGCACATTATTTCTGGTAATGCGAGGTGGTTATGGTAAAGTGTGCAAAAGATGATAAAAACACAGACAAGACAAATATTCTGTTTCCTCTACTAATTTTCTCTCAAAAATATCTCCTCTACTCCCACTGTATAACACATGCTACACTGTTCTTGGTTATGTAACACATACCTCTAGTGTACCAACAAGGAGGTGCTGATGTGGGTGCACCGCTCCATTACCCATACACACACACTGCCACTGAAAAGTTCTTACCAACTAACCATAAGGAGAATACACACACACAGGGAAAATTTTGTAAATTATTTGTAAAGTGTTTACATTAGCTGGGCAATATATGAAATATTTGCAACATTCTGTATTTGCTATGAGTTTGCTGATTATATAAACTTGCGAATACTGTGCAACACAGTGAATATTGTAATGATCTGAATGCACTTTTGAGACTAATTTCACAATCCTTTCTTATCTCAAAACCTGCAAGTGTGAGAATTCAAAAAAAGACATGTTGTAGCATCTCTGATTTAAACTTCAGTAGAAAAAACAGCATTAGAGCTGATTAGAGTTTGCTTCAGTTCTGTTTTAGTTGCCTGTTCGAATTAATGGATTAAAAAATCAAAAGATGCAAAGATTTGTTTGCATCATCCATCAAAAAATTTGGCATTTTGCATGTATCACAATGTTTTAGTAAAAAATACTGTATGTAAATATTATTTATCACTTTGTATTTTTAATTTGTATTTTTAAAAAGTTAATTTAAGTTATTTAATAAAAATTGTTTGTAAGACTGATTATTTCAATTTTTTATGTATTTTATTTGCTTTAGACATTTTCAGAGGCGGACAGTAACTAAGTACATTTACTTGAGTATTGTACTTAAGCAGTATCTGTACTTTCATTCAAGTAATGGAGTTGAGTACTTTGTCACATTTTGAATATCAGATGAAAAAAAACACAAGTCATCTCATAGCAAATACAAAATATAAAGTATCGAACATATTCAAATGCCTGAAAAATTTGAGATATAATTTTTAATCTCTATCATGCCCTAATTCACCTAATTCTCCACCTCGTTACTGCTATTCTTATAGAACTCTATCTCCAGGCCAGGACTCCACCAACATCAATAAACAATTAATAAACAATACCTACTCTGTCCATTGATATTGAATAGGAAACATTTAAACAAACAAATAATGTTTGTACACACTAGAATTACGCTTGCCTTAAAATCAGGAGAAAACTGTACATTCTGACACTGGAAGATCACAGTTTACCAAACCGTTCACTTCAGTATGAACGATCCAATGCCATTTCAAATAAGGAAAAAATTATTTTTTTATATATATTCCTTATATCAATTAATTGCTCAGATGAGGGTTTGTTCAAATTGAAATGTTAAAATTAAATATTAGGACTTTCTTAATAACATTACATAAAGCAAGCTAACACTATCTATATTTTATGTGGTTTACATCTAAAATTAAAATTTTTATGTGATTTTAAAGAGATTTACCCAAAAATGAAACATACCCGTAAGTTGTTCCAAACCTGTTTAATTTTCTTAAATAAAAGTAGATATTTTGAAGACTATGGATAACCAAACAGTTGCAGCCCCCATTGACTTCCATAGTATTTTTTTTCCATACTTTGGAAATTAATGGACCACCTACTGTTTGGTTACCCATATTCTTAAAAATATATTATTTTGTGTTCAACAAAAGAACAAAACCCATACAGTTTTAGGTGAGTATTTTCATTTTCATTTTCAGAATTTTCATTTTTGGGTGAACTTCAACTTTCATTTTAACCCAAAATACAGGCGAGAAAATACTGCAAATTGTTAGTTGTCAATGAACTTTTGTTGAGAAACCTCAATTTCAACAAATATCTTTACTAACCACTTTTTTTTTAAAGAAATTGTAATTCCTCATGCTTATTTGTAACTATATCATCTAATCTGTTCATCCATCCAAACATATGTATAAGTTTGCAAGTTTGATTCACCAACATATATCGCCACCACTCATTATCCTTTCTGCACTTTTCCAAACCTTTCCACCACTCTTTCTTTCCTTCAGTTCTCCCAGATGTTGGAGAGTGAAGCATTTAGAACAATTCTTAAATCATCATAGTGAGGAAAACTCTTTTCCACCTACATGGAAGATGAATTATATCAGGGATGATATGGGCTCAAAGCTCACTCACTTTCTTGTTCAAATAGAAGGGGTCCAAGTCCTCCAGGGGCACAGCCAACATGTTAGAAGGGACGTCCCCATAAATAAAGGGTACGCCTTTCCCCGCTTCCAAGTCAGTGTTGGGTCGCAGTTTGTTGTCATCATCGTCATCGCGGTGACTGCTGTCAGATCTGGGCTTAACAGGCTGCTTCTTCTCCTCCTCAGCGATGCGCTTCTCGATGTTGGCCAAAGTCTCTGGGGTGAACCTCTTGAAGCTATTGGGTCCTGGAGGTGCAAGCAGCTGCGCAGCCATATTGTCATCCTGCAGCAGAGTCCTCTTTATTTAGAAGCCATTCAGGACAGCCAGCTCTAGGAAAAGGAGGGGAGAGGGAGGTACCCGGACAGATGCAGAAAGGGAACAGTGAGGAAAGAAAAAGAACAGAAATTAAAATTCAAAAGATGTTAAACAAAGCAAATAATGCCACACAAACAAATCAAACAAAAAGCTCTCCCTCTTGCTCTTTTTCTCACTCTTACACTCACACACACACACATTCATTACGTCCATTAAGAAGTAGATGACCAAGCAGAATAATACCAAATGTGCTGCAGCACTGGAGGCTCTACCTGTACATGTGTGTGCGTGAGAGAGACAGAGAGACTGTACATTAGAGGGTAAGGTCATAACTGCATTACTGCCCTTATCAACCCTCTGTGATGACCTGGATTATCTAACTAATATTCCAGTCCATGATGTCATCAAGCCCATTCCAAAAAAAACAAACATCATATTAAACATTCAGACATATTCAATGACTATATCACAAACTCTCCACTTTACTCATTTTATACTAAGGTTATACATTAGACACACTATGATGATGAAACACTTTATGACTGTTGTGCTTTTTCTTCTCAGACAATATAAAATGGAGGATTCTTTCTAAAGAGTTAATCTCATCACGCAAATGTCCAGCTGCTCAAGACTGTAGTCTTAACAAGTTAGAAGACAACATTATTGTCAAGTCATACTTGTCATTTCACATTTGTGATGTATTATGTTCTTACAGGAACTATTTCACCTGCTTTGATCTTACTTAAAGGGTTAGTTCACCCAAAAATGAAAATTCTGTCATTAATTACTCACCCTCGTGTCGTTCCAAACCCGTAAGACCTTCGTTCAAGACCGTAGCGCCGTTTTGGAGAGTATCCACGGAACGCAAACAGCGTATGCTGTTCTGTGTCAGCAGCACCACACAGATACATTGTTTTCGTTCAAATCAAAGTGTAAATAAATGTAGAAAATGTATCCGTGTTGTGCGGCTGACACAGAACAGCATACGCTGTTTGCGTTTAGTGGATACCCTCCAAAACGGTGCTACAGTGATGCGGAGGAGATGAATTGTTGAATAAAGTTGTACCCCTGATGTCACATGGATTACTTTACATATCTCCTTGCTATGTTTCTGGATGTCGATCGTGTTAATTACATTGCTATCAATGGGAGGGTCAGAAATCTCTCAGATTCCATCAAAAATATCTTAATTTGTGTTCTGAAGATGAACAAAGGTCTTACGGGTTTTGAACGACATAAGGGTGAGTAATTAATGACAGAATCTTCAGTTTTGGGTGAACTAACCCTTTAATTTCTATTGCAAAGATGCATTTTTGTATTTGTGTGCTGACTGTTGACAATGAATCTCTATAGCACAAGATGGATATAATCTTGTTTCTGACTGATTCTCATAACCTAAATAATACAGAAAAAACAACACATGATGTATCAATAAAGTCAATAAAGACTGCCATAAAGACTCCATAGGATAGAGAATACTGATAATGAACAAATAAGACAAAATTAACTGTGCCCCTTTGCCATTTATGTTTGGAGTGACGGACCGGATATATTGACCAGACTGATTAGTCAGCCAATATCTGGCCATTTTGAGATCAACTCTGTCCAATTCCAAAATCCACTTATAAATAGATAAACAATTTACTTTTAACTTTTTTTTGTGAATTTTAAGTACATTTTGTGTAAAATAATCTAGTTAAATTCCAGCATTTTTGTGTATATCTATCTTTCTAGATAGATAGATAGATAGATAGATAGAGACAGACAGATATAGATAGAACTGACCCCAAACTCAAAACTTTTCAACAGTAGTGTGTGTGTGTGTGTACTATACATGTATAGGCACATCTCAAAAAATTTGAATATCATGAAAAAGGTCAATATTTTTTGTCACTCATTTCAGAATGTGAAACCCATATATTATATAGATTCATTACACAGAGTGAAATATTTCAAGCCTTTATTTCTTGAAATTTTATGATTATGGCTTACAGATAATGAAAACCCAAAATTCAGTGTCTCAGAAAATTTGAATATTGTGAAAGTCATGGTGTCATACCCTAATCAGCTAATTACCTCAAAACATCTGCAAAGGTTTCCTGAGCCTTTAAATGGTCTCTCAGTCTGGGTCAGTAGGCTACACAATCATGGGGAAGACTGCTGACTTGACAGAAGTCCTTGACACCCTCCACAAGGAGGGTAAGCCACAAAATTCCATTGCTAAAGAAGCTGGTTGTTCACAGAGTGCTGTATCCAAGCATATTCATAGAAAGTTGAGTGGAAGGGAAAAGTGTGGTAGGAAAAGGTGCACCAGCAAGAATTTGGGGGAGCTTCACAAGGAGTGGACTGAGGCTGGTGTCAGCGCATCAAGAGCCACTATGCACAGACGAATCCTATACACTGGGCTACAAATGTCGCATTCCTCGTGTCAAGCCACTCCTGAATCAGAGACAACGTCAGAAGCATCTTACCTGGGCTGTGGAGAAAAATAACTGGATTGTTGCTCAGTGATCCAAAGTCCTCTTTTCAGATGAAAGTACATTTTGCATTTCATTTGGAAATCAAGGTCCCAGAGTCTGGAGGAAGAGTGGAGAGGCACAGAAACCAAGTTGCTTGAAGTCCAGTGTGAAGTTTCCACAGTCAGTGATGATTTGGGCTGCCATGTAATCTGCTGGTGTTGGTCCACTGTGTTTTCTGAAGTCCACAATCAACGCAGCCATCTACCAGGAAATACCAGGCAACAACTGCAATCAAGCGTTTGCAATAACTTGCAGTTCTGAGGATCTTTTGGTCTACTTCACTTTGTCAGGCAGGTCCTATTTAAGAGATTTCTTGATTGCGAACAGGTCTGGCAGTAATCAGGCCTGGGTGTGGCTAGAGAAATTGAACTCACATCTATTCTTTTTCTATTCTGTTTTCTTTTTATTTATTATATAATAATAATTTTAAAAAACCTTGCTACATGTACTGCGTTAAGCTAACCAAGACTTTTTATAGAACTTGCATATCATTGCTCTTTTGTTAATTTTGATCGCTTCCATTGTCCTCATTTCTAAGTCGCTTTGGATAAAAGTGTCTGCTAAATTGGTAGCCAGTGCAAACTGCAGAGCTGTGACGTGAATTCTTTTTGGCTCATTAAAAATTTATCAAATATATATATATATATATATATATATATATACACACACACATATACTGACTTTGGTCTTGCACTGTTGCAACAAATATCAAACAATGTTGCACAATATTATCGCAATGTTGAAAATATTTGTGCTGCTTTGTTTATTTATTTACACTTTATTAGATTTTTTTTAATTATTGTTATATGCATTCTTAAGTAAATATTATTTTCTTTAAAAAAAATAACAGACCCCAAACTCTAAACTTTTAAACAGTAATGTGTGTGTGTGTGTGTGTGTGTATATACACACACACACACACACACACACACACTACCATTTAAAGTATATATATATTTGACTTTGGTCCTGCACTGTTGCAACAAATACCAAATACCAAACAATGTAGCACAATAAAACCCTTTACTCCAATAAAGGAGCATTAGTTACACTTGCACTCATGACAATTTGTAGAATTTACACACTACACTTGATGTAGCAGTTCTATTGCAAGTTAACAGTTTAACTTCCCCCATAGAGTTTTGTCGGTGAAGAACAATCATTTTCAAGTAGATTTATCACAAATGTGCAGACAAAAAACTTTAAATGACATTAGTACTACTTTGTCACCCTCTTCTGTGTTCCAGGTGTGTGTCGCAGAGTCAGTCCCAGTCTAGTCCCTCAGGATCCACTAAACTGGGCTATTCCTCTTCCAGAATGTCCTTTTACAGGCATTTTCTATCGCAGAGCTGACTTGCATTTATGGTCCAGAGATCAATGTAAAACGTATCCTTTTCTAGTACTAAACTAATTAGACAAGCAAAAATAAGAAAAGCATATGAGCACATAAGCACTTCGTATAAGCGCACATAACCATTAATGACATGATGCCCTCTTCAACTGATTACTGAAGCTGGTTGTTTGAAGACCATCATCTCCAGACATCTGTATATCTTAACTCATGTAAGTGCTATATGATGTGTCATACAGACATCACATTCTTTCACATTTACTTTCAAAAATATTAAACCTAACAGCCAACACTAATGATTCTCTTATCATTTTTCTTTTTGCGGGATTGTTTTATATGATGTCCAATGCTGAATCCCTGTTCTCTATATCCTTAATGACACAGTCTGTTAATTATTTATACACCAAAAATTGATACACTGATTCAGTTAAGTCAGACTCAGCACCGCCCAAATCAATAGTGAAGTGCCCACGGTCACATGACATTGCTCTTTATGATGGGCGACTATATCACCATTAAAAAAAGAAGGCTTCCTGATCGACAGCAAACTTATGGCAAGTCGTTTTAACATTTACTCCTTTAAACTAGGATGTTTTTTTTTTTTTACTTGCATTTATTTTAAATTACTATTAAGCAATCTTATAGTTTACATTCCATTAGTAATGAGTTAATATATATATATATATATATATATATATATATATATATATATATACACACACACATATACTGACTTTGGTCTTGCACTGTTGCAACAAATATCAAACAATGTTGCACAATATTATCGCAATGTTGAAAATATTTGTGCTGCTTTGTTTATTTATTTACACTTTATTAGATTTTTTTTAATTATTGTTATATGCATTCTTAAGTAAATATTATTTTCTTTAAAAAAAATAACAGACCCCAAACTCTAAACAGTAATGTGTCTGTGTGTGTGTATATACACACACACACACTACCGTTTAAAGTATATATATATTTGACTTTGGTCCTGCACTGTTGCAACAAATACCAAATACCAAACAATGTAGCACAATAAAACCCTTTACTCCAATAAAGGAGCATTAGTTACACTTGCACTCATGACAATTTGTAGAATTTACACACTACACTTGATGTAGCAGTTCTATTGCAAGTTAACAGTTTAACTTCCCCCATAGAGTTTTGTCGGTGAAGAACAATCATTTTCAAGTAGATTTATCACAAATGTGCAGACAAAAAACTTTAAATGACATTAGTACTACTTTGTCACCCTCTTCTGTGTTCCAGGTGTGTGTCGCAGAGTCAGTCCCAGTCTAGTCCCTCAGGATCCACTAAACTGGGCTATTCCTCTTCCAGAATGTCCTTTTACAGGCATTTTCTATCGCAGAGCTGACTTGCATTTATGGTCCAGAGATCAATGTAAAACGTATCCTTTTCTAGTACTAAACTAATTAGACAAGCAAAAATAAGAAAAGCATATGAGCACATAAGCACTTCGTATAAGCGCACATAACCATTAATGACATGATGCCCTCTTCAACTGATTACTGAAGCTGGTTGTTTGAAGACCATCATCTCCAGACATCTGTATATCTTAACTCATGTAAGTGCTATATGATGTGTCATACAGACATCACATTCTTTCACATTTACTTTCAAAAATATTAAACCTAACAGCCAACACTAATGATTCTCTTATCATTTTTCTTTTTGCGGGATTGTTTTATATGATGTCCAATGCTGAATCCCTGTTCTCTATATCCTTAATGACACAGTCTGTTAATTATTTATACACCAAAAATTGATACACTGATTCAGTTAAGTCAGACTCAGCACCGCCCAAATCAATAGTGAAGTGCCCACGGTCACATGACATTGCTCTTTATGATGGGCGACTATATCACCATTAAAAAAAGAAGGCTTCCTGATCGACAGCAAACTTATGGCAAGTCGTTTTAACATTTACTCCTTTAAACTAGGATGTTTTTTTTTTTTTACTTGCATTTATTTTAAATTACTATTAAGCAATCCTATAATCCTACAGTTTATATTCCAATAGTGACGGGCATCTACTCAGTTAGTTACTAGTAGTTATTCAGTAAAAATAAGTACTTATTTCTTAGTTCAGAAATCAAGTATTCAGTTTCAACTAATATGTATTTCAATTACTGCTGGTACTTGTTCCAGTTTTACTAATAACTGTTCATTAGGTAGCAGAACTGCTCAATATGATGGGTGATTTTGTCACCATTAAAACACCATTAAAAGGCTTCCTGATCTACAGCAGATATTATAGCAAGTATGTTTAACATTTATTCATGTAATCTAACATTATTTAACTGGCATCTATATTTTAAAGCAATCCAACTGTGACTAGTATTCATCTTTTCATTATTCAGTATTCATTAAATAAAAATGACTTTGAAACAATTTTCGCCTAGAAATTGCTGGTAAATTTCACAAATAATTACTAAGAAGAGGCAAATAACATTTAATAATCTTTGTTTTATTTAAAACTTGTTCATTAGACACTAGTTGTTTTTTACAATAGTAACAAGTAGAGTTACTCACTAGCACTTATTCAGAACATAGTAGCATTTGCAATTAGTATTCCAACTATTGCTGGTATATGATCCCGTTTCCGTATTGCTTAGGTAGTACAATGTATTATTAGTTCATTCATTAGGTAGTAGAACTTATTAGTTAGCCTACTAGAAACAAAAGAATGATTACTTATATAATGAATAGTCAATAGCAAAATTGAAAAAGATACTAGTCACTATCTACTTACCCGTTATTAAAATTAACTATTAAATTAAGTATTTTTTAAAATTGCATTAGTAGTTTGTTTTAATGAATGTTTATTAAACCAGCTTGCCATAGACACATTAGGTAAAGCAACAAAGTAATTTTTCAAAAATGGACGGTGTGTAGACAAAAGACATACAGAGTAAACACTATGATGTGCGTTTTAAGTTACACGTAGACTGTGTCCAACCTCCAAGTCTCCTTCCTGGGATACTGTAGAGACGCCTCACCTCAAGGTGATACATCAGATAGACAGGCCCTGACAATACAGTATATAGCCTACACACAACGACCTGAACAAAACTACTGCATTTTCTTTCTTATAGACTAAGGTGTTTTGCCAACGTTGGTTATAGAAAAAGAAATGGTAGCTTACGTCCTCCATTTTTCGATTGCCCCAAGTTAAAAACGCCTGACCTACACGTTAAATCCTAAATAACCGATGCCATTAGACAGGTTAGGCTACTTACGTGCCTTCAAGCAAATTCATTGCCTGTTCTCATCTCTGGTACACTGTACGTTCCCATACCATCGCAAAGGTATTCCTTATCAAGCAAGAAGTGTCGTATGTTTTCAGGAAGCCGAGACAAGTCCACTGTCTTCTAGATGCCGTCGAATGGCGAGTCTGAGCGGCGCTGTCCGTTCAGCACCGCTCAGCGCGAGCTCACGCTTGTCCTCTAGACTAAGTGATTGAAGGGTGGGGGATTACAGTGGCTGCCTCAAGCCACGATGAAACATCCCGACTAAAGCGACTTTTCCGCATTTGATGTCTTTAACTAAATGATATGGAAAGCGAATGGTCAGCCTCTGGCACTGTACATAGAGGAGAGGGGAGCTGCACAGCTGTCACGAGGACGAACCTCGCCGGCCTATCCCGTGTGGGCCGCAAAATCCGACTATTACTCCGTCTTTCATATTTCAACACACATAAACACACAGATATGCCCTTGTTTGACTACATTTAGCTATCTCACATTTTGCCTTTAATATTTGTTTGGTTACGCCAACAGTAACATGGGCTACACCTCATTTAGAACACGGTCCTCATCATTTCAAAGCAAGTATAATTCATAAAGCGTGTGCGATGGCAAAAATATACTTTTGAAGGCGCTGCATGTTATGGGATTTACGGATCAGGATGCCCAAGTTTGTTTGCGGTAATTATGGCATCTGTCTGTACACGCGTGGGCCCCACTCTCTCGACTGAAATACTGCAGTGGAGCTAAGGGGAGCTCGTGCAAAGGCACGAGCCAGCGAATCAATCTGTGAAACATCTCAATCTGAACGCCACTGACGTCTCAGACAGTCGTGCCTGCGACGTCTCGGGTTTCTATCCAACTAGGTTTCAACAGCATTCGCATCAGAACACTTCAAGAACATCTGGGACTCTTGTCCACTCCAGCACCACACCCGTGCAGTCAGACCGTCCTCTCTTGATTTAACCCGTAACCCCGCACACGGTCGGGCACATCATGCCGCTAAAGCTTTAGGAAGGAGTGAGTGAGAAAACGAGGGCAGTAGTCCCCGTTTTTAAAGGCAAAAACGGAAACGCAACGATTCTAGGCAGTCCAGCCCAAAGAAGTATGGCGAGGGTGACTCGAAGGGAGGGGGAATGCAGGCGCAGGGGAACTAAAAAACTGCCACATTAGTGATTTTGACATGTTACGTTGCAAAACAGTCACAAATGATATCTGAATGTTTAATACTGCGTCTTGCGTCAGTCTGTCCGCACAATATTCCCATGCAATAAAGTTTGCGGCGGTCGTACTTGCCTGTCCCATGGTATGCGTATGTTCTACATTTCGACACGCACACTAATGTTATGTTTCCAGCGCCAGGCCAACACCCTCATTTACCTCAATCAGACTTTTCCCACCCTTTGCATAGCCTCTGTGTGAACAGTACTATAGCTGTTAGTAGTGTCTGGCGTGTTAATTGGCGTTTTCCTGCGTTTCCTGCAGCAAGCCTATCCACATCTTTGAGCAGAAAAGATGCTGAGCGCGAGAGACCGCTCTGCGGCAGATGAGTCCAGGTATAAGACACGCTCAGAACAGGCTATAAACACCTAAAAAACCACAACACTTGCGCTGTAGACAAGATAAAGTCTACTTACTTTTTCGCATTAAGAGCGATCCATGTAGATCTTGCGTGCCTAAGGATGTTTAAAAGACCCAGGAGAAACTGCGGATGTCGCCATATTGCTGCCGCTATCTTCCTTCCCAGTGCGTACGGCTAGCCTGCATAATTGATGACTCTCAGCAAATTGTTAGGGAGCGTCTGTAAGTACCCTACTTCCGACTTCCGTACTGACCGACAGAACGCTGCAACGTAAGCGAAACAGCGCTAAAAGGGAATATCAATCACAATGATGTGAGTCTAATTATATTTACCACTTCTCAGTCAATTTAATCTAATCTTCTAATTTCTGTTCCAACAATTGTTAAACTGTCTCAAATTTAATTTTTTTAATTGGATCAGGACTGTTTGATTTAAAAATAATAATAATACTACTACTACTAATAATAATAATTTTAAATTAAAATTAAATTCTATAGGCTACTCGCAAATTTTGGAAGTTCTTTCAGAACACACAATAAACAATATAGAATAAAATTTTCTGTCATTTATGGTAACAAGCATCATCATATGGCACTGGCTTTCAAATTAAATGGTGATATTTCTATGTTGGCACATATAAGCCACATTTCAACATCTTCACTATGGTTACCTGGAATAATTCTGCTATACACAACACTTGTTCCTACAAAAACTTGTTTGAGGTTTTTGTATGTTTTAAAATGTCTCTGTAGCAAAAAGTCACAAAGAAATAGATCACCCAAAAATGAGAATTTGATGAAAATATTGGCCATCTAATATGTAGATGAGTTTGTTTCTTCAAGTTAACATCTGGTGAAGCAAAAGCTGCAATGTCTCTGTAGCAAAAAGTCACAAAGAAATAGATCACCCAAAAATGAGAATTTGATGAAAATATTGGCCATCTAATATGTAGATGAGTTTGTTTCTTCATCGAAACAGATTTGGAGAAATTTAGAATTGCATCACTTAACCAGTCACCTCATCAACAGATGTCCATCAGTTAACATCTGGTGAAGCAAAAGCTGCGTGTTTGTAATTAACAAATACATTATTAAGACATCAAACTTCAAACCTCATGTCCTTTTGCTTTCTCTAAGTGATTTAATGCAAAATTTCTCCAAATCTATCCTGCTGAAGAAACAAATTCATCTACATCTTGGATGGCCTGAGGGAGAGTACATTTTCAGCAAATGTTCATTTTTGGGTGAACTATTCCTTTAAAATATCTACATTCAAATGCAGGATGTGAACCATGTGGGCACAAAATGTGGACATGTGGGCACAAAAAAGTATCGTTGGCGTTTTAGGTGCAGTGGTCAGTGCAAGACTAGTCTGTGGCATTGTTTGTTTTGTGGGGTTGGTTCAAGCAGTGTGGTTGAGGAAGCAGGTACTACAAGGTCAAATGTTGCAGGCAATAGTTCATCTTCCTCTTATCCTGTTAGAAAGTGAAAGGAAACAACAACGGCGTTAGACTACCTCTATCTCCCCCTTCTGGGCCACCTGAGTATTTTTTCAAGTCCTCACTATGAGCCCCAAGTGGATGAAGCCTTGCCGTGCAATGCGCCACCAGCCATGTCTGCGTTTGGCCACTGTCCTTGGTGCTGATGAAGCCCCACTTTGTGTGTGAGTCAAATAGGACACAGAGGCATCTTCACATGACACTGTCTGCAGAGCAGATGAACAGAGTATATTTTTATGTTTGCGATGTACATTTTTTGGGACTGTTGCCTGCAAGTATTATAGGAGCTTACAGCATCTAAAGATATTACTGTAAACTTAATCTCAATAAGAAAGCCCTAAATCCTAATTTCAGTCACCATGGAGGATTTTAGGGATAATTGCATTAAGATGAAAGATAGATAGATAGATAGATAGATAGATAGATAGATAGATAGATAGATAGATAGATATACCAAGTTAACAGAAACATTCTGGTTAGATTCTCTCAAAGTTATGAACAAACATTCTTCCAGTGACATTAATAGAATGTTTGTCAAAGTTATCTAGTCTCAAATGTTCTCAACAATTTAGCACAAAAACAATATTTATACATCATTAATGGAATACTTTTTTTTTCCTTAAACGTTTTTTATTCGTTTTTTTTAATGTTACTACTTGTTTCAGAATGTTCAGTGGACATTTAAAAGTAATGTTTACATAATGTTTGTAAGAAAATAAAACGGAATGCTCCCCCTACTGTTTAAGAACATTCAGTTGTTATAACTTATTTGTTGGGTTGCTCTAAATCAGTATTCTTGTATGCTGGAGTAAAATGCGGTGAGTAATCATAAAGACATAAGATTTTTATGAAACTTAGTAGCTAAGTTTGCTTAAGGTATATTACAGTGCGTTCAATAGATTTAACTGTTGTTTAACAACACACCGATTCTTTCTGTGAAAAACTTTCAAAAACTCCATTAATAAGATAAATGGACCCTTTTTTCACATTTCCGGGTTTCTCAGCAACGGATGCCGTCGAATGGGAGACTACCACAAATATTTATATAGATATTTTTATAATTTAATTCAAAGGTAATATAATACAAAGTGTAGTGTTATAAATGTACATAAATGTTTTTAATGAAAATATAAAAAACTTTGGAGGATTTACGATGCTGATGACCGTTGAAACGCGTCATCGCTGTCTTTTAAAAAGAGTGGTGTTCATTTGGTCATGTGATCTCAATGTAGAATAAGCTTTTATTAGGTATGAGCCCTTGAACGAGTCATTATTGTTTGTGTTTGTACATATTTCTCAAAACTACTATTCATTTCTTCGAGGGTTACTTTTAGTGAGGAAAAGAAAGAAGGGTCCACTTATTTATACACGGACGCCATCTGGTGACAGACTGGATTACTGCCTGTCTGGAGTAGATTACATGCGTTAAAGACGTTGGTTTTGATTGGTCATTTGTCACAAGGTGCGCGCAACAGCTAACGTCCTCACCTCTTGTATATCAAATGTAGCTTAGAGTTCCAGTCAGAATTGTCGTTAAAAATGACGCTGTTTATGAACGCTTGCGCTTTTTTAGTCAACGTCCTCACTCTACCGCTGCACATTGCGGAGGTGATTGGACTTTTGTCTTTCTACAAACGCGTCTTCCCTCTAATCGTCTATAAAATCTCGATCTCCTACAATGACAAAATGAACGACAACAAAAGGGAACTATTTCGAAACCTGGACAAATTCTACCCCACGAAAGGCTCTCTGCGCATCCTGGAGCTGGGCTGCGGATCCGGGGCGAACTTCGAGCACTACCCGACGGGCTGCAGGATCACATGCATCGACCCCAACCCGCATTTCCAAAAGTACCTGAAGAAAATCTTGCATGTTATATGCCTGATAAAGCAGCTTTTGTGAGCTCAGCACTGCTTTGTATACAGCTGTTACTGGGGAAACCTCGGTTTCTCTCTGCCAGCACCTCCTGCTGGCAGAGAATGAATTTGCATTTTCAACAAGTCCGTCTGATTTACGCAGCAAACATATTTTGCTTATCAAAAATAATCTACTCTTGAGGGACTACTTAGCTGCTGTTATTGATTCTATTTGGAGGTCTACCGGAAGTTAAGTTAGGGCCACAAAAGCGCGCGTGCGCAGTAACGTTTGTTTATGTTATTGCTGTTGAAACCATCTATAGAGTAAGAAAGTCTATACTTCTCTGTTTGTCAGGTACTATTTCGGTGATGGCTGTGAGGCAACCCGTGCTACTTGGAAGCACCTCGAGGCAGCTGGCTTCTCTGACCTGCAGCTACGTCACATCCAAGCCCCACTGTTTTTTATGATCAAGCCACACATTGTTGGTTATGCAGTCAAATAATGAAAATTAATTTTGCCAAAAAAAACAACAACAACCTTCATTCAAAATTAATTCATTTCACCACCACGTGTTTGTGTGAAATAGTAATTTGTGTTAAACCATAAAATAGAAAGTTTTTGTTTAATGTGCAAACACTAAATCTCAAGACTGCATTGGAATACCAGCAGGTAAAACAACAAAATACTTTTATCTATATAAAACAGGCTTTTGGAGATGAATGCAGGCCAGCTTTGTGAGGTTGTTGTTAATGCATAAATGAGCCATACTGCCATCTAGTGTTTAGGAGGAATGTGTGTCATCCTTAATACTTTTGAATTTAAACTTATATACTTTGTAATATAGTTAAATACTCTGAAAGACCACTTTGCATTCTCCAACTTTAAATTTTGACAGACACTTGTTTTTTCCCCCGACACTTCTGACCATTAAAGTTCCTGTTATAAAACATTGTACTCACAAAAAGTAATTTCTTGCTGATAAATTAGAAAATAGAACAATGTATTTTTTTTACAACAGAAATTTATTTGACTTAAGATTTTTATTTTTTTTTAATGACCTGATATTTTCATGTTATCATTGACTGTTGGGACACTATTCTTTAAATATGGTATGAATAAAACAAAATAAAAATTAAAGCTATAATTTTGAAGTAAATATTAAATAGTTATCTGGCTGTCTTTTTAATGCAACAACCAAGACAACACCATTTCATAAGACAACCTTGCATCTCCTGTCTGACCATCTGAGTGGAGTTTTTCCAAGAGCCTCCTTGAGGCTGAGAAACAACTCATAAGTTAAAGTAGTTAAGCTACAGTCAAGGTACCCTTTTGAAAAAATAGCTAGCTACACTACAAGTTACTACCAAAAAGTAGCTAGCTATGTTGAAACTACTTTTTTTCACAATGACATATACTACACATAACTGAACAAGTGTTAATGAGGAATGTTTTAAGTAAAATATTTGCTATTTAAAACAACAATGCAATACAATTACGATGTCAAAGACTATTGTTTGTTACAATATTCAAATACCTCAGACTGTCAAAAGTCAAAGTGCAAAATTGCAACAAATTTAGCATTGCGATAAAATGTTATTTTTAAGTAACTTAAATTTAGCACACTGAAGCATTTTCTCAAACATAGTGTGACAGATTCTTCTGGATAAAATTATGATTTGTTATTTAAAATGTGATTTTTAAAACAAATTAACAAAATTATTAGAAAAAAATTCTTGATAAGAGAACATTAATTTAATTTTACACAAAACTACTGTTTTACAAAAACTGCAGGGTTACTAGTTAACATACAGACAGCCTATACATCATAAGGTGCTGTTATGATAAAAATCTTACCTCAGTAATTTAAAGTTAAGTTAAGTTAAAATCTCAGTAATTTAACAACTTTTATCAGGAAGTATGTAAAATCAAAAACGGAGTCCATGTCTTTCATTTGAAATAGGCTTTGAGCTTTTTATGCATCCACTTTTGGGGGGGGGGGGGGGGGGAAAAC